TTATTATTATTATTATTATTATTATTATTATTATTATTATTATTATTATTGATACATAATTGTAAGCGTCTCCAATTTGCTCCAGAAATGTTAAATTGAAAAAATTGTATTCAAAATCTTTTTCTATATCACTTCTACCTTCTGTACTCGTTTATTATATACACTTACAAAGGTGGGTCTTTGTCATCTCGTTTCAATTCTTTGAAATCGATTGGATAAATTTAATTGCGAATGAGTTTCATACAATTATTGAATGTTTGGATCATGAGTTAGAGGACCAAAGGAGGCTAAGAATTCGCTTTGGACTTTAATCACTTCTAGATTTTTATAAGCAAAAACGGATCACTACATCAGGGATCTCGCGCATTTTTCAATCAATCAAATAAACTTAGTTCGTGAGCTAACCTAACCTTTTGGAAGGTACATCTCATAATATTTGTTTTTCGTAATTTTTTGTTTGTTTTATTATTCCATTGGAATGCGTTTATTTAGGCATATTCATTTTTGCGAAATAGCCAGATTGCATAATACTTGCAATTGCATAAATTTCAAATTGTATTATTGTCTCTAATAAAACATTTTAATACTCAAGTTAGATTCTTGTATGGAATTAATACTGCATATGACGAAAGAAAAAATCGAATGACTCAAAATAGAACATTACATGGTTTCCATTCACCAGCGCAAGATACGGAAATACAGGGAGGGCAATATGAACAATATTTGATTTATAATTCATTTATTTAGTTCAAGAGCAGTAAAAACTGTGACATATGGGAGAGATATACCATGTGCCTACGTTTTCATGAGTTCCAGAATCCATTCCCAACATTTTAACTATAAATAATTCAAAGATGAATGAAAGTGAAAAATAAAATAAACAAAAATAAAAATAATATTAAAGAAAAATGTAAAAAATAAAATTACCTAAACCGCGAGGTTAGCAACATCTTCGCTCCCGAATTATAGAAAATGTATTTGCGTTGATAAACATACTGCAGATTTGATTTATTTGCATTGCTAATAAAATAGTGACCCACCAGCTCAACTCCAGTCACTACAAACACAAGCCACCGGCTCAACAAAACGTGTGAATAGTGAAGCTACATTTATATCCAGAAGCACACAAGGAACCCGTTTCAGCATTTGGTCAGTGGATCAGGGAAACTGTAAACACCTAATCAAAATAAGGGTCATTGACTCAGAAGCTGAAGTACATTACTGGTTACAGACATATTAAGTTTTTTAAATTGTAAAATACACCTGTCAACTAATGCATTAGATATCACTGTTAAAATAAATATTATTTTTCTTTCAATAGCAGTAGCGTTTAATCCACACACGCGTGACACGAAATGTTTCATTATTAATCTGTATTTTAAGGCAATTATTTGAAAGTATTCTCTTCAAGACGAATTCCTTCAACAAAGAGCATTTTATGGCAGGTCTGGCTACGCGAAGAAGCTGGACAACCACCGCAACACGAGTTCGCTGAACAAGGTGGGCGGCGGCGGCGGCGGTGGCAGCGGCGGTGGCGGCGGAGGCGCGGGCGGCGGGCTGCGGGGGTGGGGCCCCGCGTCTGCTGTCGCCTCCAAGCCGCGCTTCCCCGCAGACCGCCAGTTCGTGCTCGGCGTGTCGCTCACCAGCGGCGGTAAGTCGCCTGCTCGCCAGCACTCCACCCGCAAACCCTCCTTTTGTTTCAGAAAAAGGAGTTAGTTTTTTGTAAATATGGAAGACGTAACGATGGACAAATAGGTAAAATGTAGTGTAATGTGTTATATCAGATTCAAAACCAAAGTCCTGCGATTTAGATGACAGATCATATTTTAGAATTTTAGTACTTTTTTTAAAAATAAGTTTATTATTTACTGTATAAATTTAGCACCGGAATTTTCAGCCCTGTAGAATACATAGAACATCCATTTTGAACACAGGTGAGAGCAGTGCACACAAAGTTACAAGATCAAACAATGTTAGGCATTTGAAAAATTGTTATATTTGGATTGTTTAAGTCGCATAAGTAATATTTACAATCGAATTATCTCCCCGGAAGATAGGCTAAACACATGATCTATAAATTAAATTGAGTCTTCTGTTGTTACATTCTGTAAATCTATTACTAATTCTTCAAAATTAAATGAGTCTCGTAACAAAAGTCTTTATAATGAAAACATACAAAGTCCATTCAATCCCTCTTCCGATATGGTATTTCTTAAAAATGTCTATAATATTTTCAAAGTGAAAACGCTCTCTCAGATTCTTTTATGTAGCACATCCAGCTCAGATTTCAGTTTGCTAGCTCACGAACGGAGAGTACTGTGAAACGCGATCAACCTGTTGTAGGGGGAAATCTTCTTGATATTGTTCGAACGTTTTGCAATCAAAGAGAGAACACAAGGCTAAATTCCCCCTAAAATTACTATACCCATTTACCCCTTTGAAATTTCCGTACAAAAGAACGATTGCCTTTCCATTGATACTACTTTCACCTTTGTTCAAAATGGATGTTCTATTTCTTCTACAGGTCCGAATAATATTTCTGTCAAGTAGATAGATATATTATTCGGACAATAGTGTTCGTCTAAAGAAGGACCAGACTGTCCCAAATTCATGCATTTGAGCAGTTCTGATGTAGAGACTCTTGCATTTTATGAGGAGCCTAATACATGAGATTCAATTGGCGGATCATATTTTGGGATTTTATTCTTTACTTCAAAAATACATATTAATTAGTATATTAATTTTGGCTCAGAAACTTCAGACCTGTTGACAAAGTAGAACATTTATTTCCATCAAAGATAAATGCAGTTTGAATTCGAAAGCATTTTAGAACGGAATATTAACATTGTCGAGAAAACTCCACTCGTTTGGACTTAGATGCCAATTCTGTCAAAACGAAAAATAACATTTCAGTACCTTTATTCTACGAAGAAGATAATACTCGTAATGGTTAGTAATTTCTTGCAATGGATTAAAAAATTAAAATGATATATGCTGATTTATCAGAATGTTGAAGAAACGATAATTTGAAGTAAAATAATTCGATGTGCGAAATCTATAGATAATTAAAGCTTTCTGAGACGGAGAACCGCTGGACAGACGCACAATCCATGGTTCCTTTGAAGTCTCAACATGTGTAAAAAAAGGGTGGAAATACTGGCATAGACAGGAGTGTGTAGTGGAAATTCTTTCATTTCTCTACGTGTATTGAATTATAATGAATTATAATGATTGTAATAAGACTCCATTTACTATACTCCATTCTTGATACAATTTAATATCAGTTATGCAAATTTTAACAGTTATATGAGCGTATTGAATCTTGAATGTGACGAACAATGCATACTGATTCATTCACGGTTGCAATAATTCGTTTGCTTCTATTTCTGTCTCTTTTTGTCCAGAATGATTGGTAAGGTTTCCAAGAGAGAATTGGCGATATCCTCCGGAATGCTCTGAAAGGGGTCTGAGTAATGTCCGAATTTCCTCCAAGTGCAACCGTCTCTATTTCAAGGCCTATCGAAAATCGTCATGCCATGTCTCGCCGTCAGCTTTTCTGAACCGGATTCACAAGTACAAAGTGTCTAAAGGTGCACTGCTCTCCACTGAGAGTACCACAATACCCCGGATGCCCTGTTCCGGCCAAGGAACTTCGCCTGTTTCCCAACGAAAGCAGAAGAGCCAGAGACGTGTCGCGCGGGTCTTGTCTTCGATCAGCTAGTCATCTATCATTTCCACCCTCATTTGTATTTATTTTTTTTATTTCTTTGTAGAAGAATCCTTGAAAGGTCATTAAGATTCAGGTTATTCACCCCAGAAAATTTCCTGCCTCGTTATGAATGCGAGAAATATAGAGGAATATTTCTGAATTGAGTGTTACTGAATAGAGTCACCAATTGCTTGTTGTAAATTGAGGCTGTGAAATAGGAAAATATTAGAGATGTGTGGGTATTGATTGAGCGTGTTCGTGTTATGTAATAGTTACTGAGTTTGAGTCTGCTATAAAAAACCAACTCAACAGTCTGCCGCGTCCTGATTGCCCAAATACATGCCTTCACAGAATTCTCTGATCAAAGTTCAAATGTTGGAATCTCTTTCAACGTTTTGTTTCTTTTGCAGACGAAAATTTATGATATTAATGAACGACATTGGCGTATAGGTGAAACAGTGATTTATGTTTAACGAAACATTTTGTTTGTAATTTGTTTTATTACAATACAAGGCACAATGACACATAAAATTACAAATATTGAATTTAATTATAAAATGAATTTCCTAAATGATACGTGCGAACAATTCCTTCCAAACGGTTTACTTTATTTCTAATTACAAAATGATGATAATAACAATAATAACAATAATAATAATAACAATAATAATAATAATAATAATAATAATAATAATAATAATAATAATATGCAATAAGTATTTCACTGAAAATGGTAACATACCCTTCATAAGGTCATTTCTTCTCGTATCACACTAAAAAAACACTCATAATGTCAGAACATAGATCATCACTCGCCAGTATTCGTTATACAAAAACTATATTTTATTATAGAAGATAATTCATGCACCGAACGATCAACATATGTAAACTCCAAGTAGGTGTACTAAAGTGATTTTTAAAGATATTTTGACATACATCATCATACGAAAGGCATGAGGGAAATTTTCTCTAGTTAATATATATTATAAATAAATAAATAGAAATGAAAATATATAAATAAATAAAATTGGAAATAAATTTGAAAATAAAACCAATAATAGAAACCGATGACATTTCGTGAAATTGCCCCATTACCGCCGTTACCAAGGACGCGATTTAACAGTGCTTCTAATTCACAGCTGGTGCGAGTGCGCGATAGTAAGACTGACGGATGTTTCCTGGCATATGAACTACTGTGGTCATTAGTCCAGATAGTGCAGTGAACGTTTTATCCCGGGACGTGGCAGCTATTCCTTCCCCGCTGGACGGTGATTCCGGCGCCGATCTATACATCGACTTACGGGGGATTTCCTCATTCAGGTATTTCTCCCAAAGGGTACCTCCCCAGCCACGGGAAGGTCCTGACCACTCTCCCGATATGCGTTTTAGTGTCTCAAACCGTAGGACTCCCTCGGTCAGAGTCGCTGCAGAAACAGCGGCAATGCTAGCGCTGAGCTAAACTCGGCCGGTACTGTGCGAAGAGGGCTGAGGTAAATCAGAGAACGCCGCCCCGCCTCCGCCATCGTCTCCCCCCGCGAGTTCCCGACGACAGGGCCCGCTGCTGCCGGGCCGGGGTCGCGGACGGCGCTTGGCCAACGACGAAGTCGTTATCCACGCAAGTGGCTTTCCCCGCCCCGCTCCACCTCGTTTCCTCTCGCGCCGTCTTGCGTCGCTGGTTTCGGGATCGCCGCTTTTGTGTTGTCGCCGGGAGAGCGATCCGTCCGGCCCGCGCGCTCCCCGGAGCAGTGCGGATTCGGTCTCGCCGAACGCCCAGCCGCGGAAAGTCACTCGCTCGACTTCCGGGCGGCGGCTCTCTCCGGCTCCCTAGGACCTCCTTGGGACACCGTCGTTTGTCTTAGATCGCGTAACGTCCAGGTTCACGGGTAAGGAAAGATTCATTGGGGAAAAGACGAAAGAATTATAAAAAATGAGGAGAGACGTTTCTGTATATGAAAGTACAATTTCTCCAAAATTAGTAAACTCCAATATTCGAAGAAATATTTCATTGCAAAAGCAGATAATATTAATGAAAAACTGTAGGTGACACTTTTTACTCTGAATTTGAAGTTTGTTTATCAACAAAGAAAAGAGGGAAAGTAACTGAGAGAGAGAGAGAGAAGGGGGGGAGGAATTTCGTGCAATTGGCCTCGTATAATGAGCCCTACTGTTTCATTGTGTTACTTTTTTGTTTCCATACCACATCGAAAACCAATAAATTTACTACATGAGTTTTTTGTTACGTTACGGATTTCACAATGAGGAAACCGTATTTAGAAGGTTTCCATGATTAAATATAAAAAATTGTGATTCAAAATGTCCACTCATTTTTGTCATTATCGTGATAAATTAATAAATCAAGGAGTTTTTTATTGCATTAAAAATATAAATGAAGCAGTGTTATATTCATATAACTGTTACTTATTATTAACACGATAAAATGAAACAAACTACAAATTAGTGTTCGATGAGATTTAGGAATAACTAATGACCTGCGGTTGCAAAAATACTGCTGAGCAAAGCCACACAATGTTGTTTTTTTCGAAAGTAGCAAGCGCACTGCTCAAGAACAAAATACTCACGTATAACTCTGCAATAAACTACATATTGTAACAAAAACATACACTGTTCCTATTCCTTAAGACTACACGTAAAGAGCAAATATTTACTTGCGGGCGGCATTCCTTGGAGTCTGGCTGTCACATGACGTTAGCTGTATTGTGAAAAGTGACTAATTATGAGTATTCAGTCGGTAGACGCAGTATGTGGACAGACGGAATAACAATCATAATTTGCATTTTCAAACAAAATCTGCTTTATTCATTTTTGCTTTTCCCTAATTCCTGTGTGTATAATGAAGCCATAAATCCGTCTCACATGGTCGGAGGCTTCATAGTTAACATTTAATTTCTGCGAGATCGTGGCTTTGAGTCCCGCCTCCCGCATGTTTGTATTTATGTTCGTCCTTTCACCCCCTATCATCACCATATCCTGTCATCTTTACAGTTGCCATACCGTTAAATGCAATAGTGGTCTCTAATGACCTAGATGCTGATGCGACCTTAAATAATAAAAAAACATAAAATGGTTTGGCAAAAAGTTGCTCGCGCACTGTTCAAGAACTGCAAATAAAATACTCTCGTATAAAATTGCAAAAAAATAAATATTTCAACAAAACCTGCTTTACATGCGAAGTTAACAAAACGTATTGCCGTTTAAATCGCAACTCGCGAATAGAAAATATCTAATGGCAGGTGACCACTGCCTTCGAGTCTCACTGCAGCATGTCAGCTGTCGTAAGCAATGTCGCACCGAGTGCGACAATTCAGGCGGTACGCGCACTACAAGTAGAGGCGGAATTATGTAAGAAAAAATTTGCATTTATCAGTTAAAATCAGAATTATCATTGCATTTTTATTTTATTCTCGAGTTTTGGGGTATCTAGTGAAATCATAGACACCTCGCACATAGCTGGAAGCTGCATACTTTTCTTTAAATTTCTACGCCTTTGGAAATTAGTAATGATCATGTAGATACAATAATTACACCAAACAAATAATCTCACTTCATGTCATGAGAGATAAATATTCAACGTTAGAAATACTGTAAATCACTGTCTGGAAAGACAACTAGATAACTACATACACACTGTTTTAAAATAGGAACAAGTAACGGCAGAAACGTTTTTGTTTTCGCAACTGTACTGCACTCAGTTTTTGTAGAACAATTAGCCAGTGTAAAAATATAGAATGTTGTGTTTTGTCTTCTTATACGTTAGCAAAAAGGAAAACAAAGTTTGCTTAACTACCCCCGTTGATCCTATTTTGCACTTACGTAATGATGTCATTGTGACTTTTGAAGTGGTGAGAATCTGCGATGGACAACGTCATAAAGAACATTCACCCTAGTAATTATATTGCGATTTACGCAACTTTGTCGCTGGTAGGTATCAGCTGTTGACAGTTTCATACAATCGACGTTCAAGCTCCCGATTGAATGAAATTGTCAACAGCTGATACCTGAGGCAGAGTTACGAAAATCGTAGTATAGTTATCACTCTTCAATCAATGACACCAGTAAAAATATGTTATCATTCTAACGTTGTTGAGCTGACTGAGATATTAAAAACTTCCACTCCTCTTAGTAAAGTTGCTTAAGCGTATGCGCATGATCGTGCACTCCCTATCAATATTGAAACGCTTTGACTGGCTATTGCGTTTGTTCCCTCGGAATGTGAGTCAATCAGCTAATGTTTCAACAATGACCGACATCTCACTGGTAGATTGTAGCGGCATTTCAACAATGTTTCCGTAGTCCCGTCAGACTTCTCCGAGTTGACTGAGGTTCTTACTCCTTTTCAACCAATTTCACTTGTTCCGTACGAATCGTACAAACGATGTTTGTGTATTTTAAAATTCCAATGACAGGTTATAATAAAATACAAATAAATATCACTTCACATATCAACAAAATTTATTTATAGTTTATTTTCACGTCACCATTTATAACCATCCAATTTGTAATTTTGTACTTTCTCTACCGTAGTTGTGTAGAGTCCACTTGAGTGTTAATAATTTCATCTTTTTATCCCTACGAGAGAGGTACTTGGGCATCAAATGTTTGGGAATCGCCTGTTCAATACGCTCGAATGCGGCTGTGTGTTCAGGAGCCAACACGAAGGGCAGCACTCCGCCCACGACGGCGTCTCCCGCCACCGCGCCGGCCCTGCCGCCCACGCCGCCCACGCCGCCGCCCCCGCCGCCGCCGCTGTCCTTCGAGGTGGTGGACCAGCCCGAGGACGAGGACGAAGACGACGCCGGCGACACCGACGGCAAGGGCAGCTCTTCAGGTGAGTGCGGCCGAAAGCAAACTGTAGTGGAACCTGTCTTGGGCGGTCACTCCCGGTTCCCGCGAAAATTGCGCGTTAATCCGCTTAAAAATGGTGATGAGGTTAGCGGAAGCATACACGAGATCTAATTGTATGATTTGCTATAATATAGAATATGGTTTCTAAGAAATAATTTTAATTATATTCAGCTACAAAATACAACTTACGCAACAAACTGCACTTCAATTATAAAATGCTGTCAAATATATTCGAGCATGGATTTTACTATTTCACAAAAACGACTTGAAGGATTGTTTATTTAAAAAGTTTAAATCTCGTTTTATCTGCACAGGTATTGAAACCACCTAAACGTTGTGCTTTCTTTCATAATTTCATTCATTTGTGTACTTCCGCATTTAAAATGTCAGGAATCTAACTGAGAAACTCTTTCCTCGATATCTAGAAGCACTTGCCCCCTTTCGCGTAGTATCAAACTCCCGTTATTTGTCATTTACCCTACTACTTTTAATATTATTGGCGGTCCTTGCCGAAACAGAACTCACCAGCAAGGTAGACTTAAAAATGCAGTTAAAAATCTGTAAGAAGGGTCATCCTAAGAAGGGGATCCGTCAGCAATCACAGTCAGATCAGATTTGCGCACAGGGCGTACTCCTCAAACCGTTGACAAGTTCTCAGAGGGGAAGCTAAAGTCAGCAATATTCACAAGAATGCTGTGCAATTGGTGAAGCAAGTAAATTGTTATCTCCTACAGACACTTATTAAAACCATATTTGTAACTTGAAATATAATTAAATCCTCCTGTCAGATAAGCTACTCTAGATGTCACTGATCTAAGTGATCTGACAATGCGTACAGTCGCAAGAAGACACTGAATCAACCGCAAATCCACCTTTTTTCCGCTTCTAACAGTTCAAAATCGCCAGAAGGGATCTTTGTTGTTCCCCCGTCGTTCTGTGTGATGCTGTCACACTGTTTGAGGCGGAGGGAGGAAAGAGGCGGAGAGGTGAAGAGGCGGAGGAAGGGAAGAAGAGAGGGATCGTGGAGCATGCCTGGCGCACTATACGCCTTCCACCGTTGGGGCCCAGCGTCATTCTCCGCCCAGTCCATGTGCAATTTGTGGTGAGACAGGGCAGCTTTCCACAGAGTTCTCCAGTTTGCGCTGTCTCTCATTCCTCCACTTCTCAATCTCCTCTTCTTATTTATCGTTTAATTAATCATTAATCATTTACTCGCTAGATCATCGCTCATTGTTGTAAAAGACAATTGGAGTACAAGGGCCCATCCACCTCCAATAAACCATATGTTCATAATAAAGAAATCTCCACTCTTTCGATATCACTGACTGCGCTCTTTGAGCCCAATTTCGTCTATAGTACGAACACAAGTTGAAGTGTATGTAATAAGATCACTTTAAAGGTAAGGTCACATTCTAGAATCATCGCCATATTAAAATTCTGCAAAACAAACACGCTCTTGGTTACGTTCGAAATTACAGATTGTGGTCGTAAAAGCAATGTTTAAAATATATTAATTTCATTCGGTAGGAATTAGAATCGATCTAAGCGAACTCAACTGTAATTAAAAGCCAAAGAGCTACTAAATTTGAAAATTTTTCGAAGCTATAAAACTAGAATACCTCTGTTACAGCTCTTTCAGTCGCTTCAGCACATCTCTGTTACACCCCTAATCAGCTCTCATTCACAGCTGAACCACAGAGCACTGATGGAAAAAGGAGTTACTAAACTTTCCTGCTTGAGTGTTTGTGATGTATAAACAGATTCTAAGATGCTCAATTTATACATAATGCTTATATTACCACCTTTACCACCTCCATTTTTTCCACCTAAGGTTGATCCTAGGTTGAGTGTAAATTATCGAGGGTTATTTTTACTGAAACATAGGTAGCTCAGCAGATATATTTTGTACATCCCTCCATCTTCAACATATCTCTTACCATTGAATATTACATTTTTCTGGGAAAGTAATCTACAGCCTTTGCGCATCAATAACTTTGAATTCATAAAAGGTATTGGAAGATATTGACAAGCAGCAGGAGATACAAGGTTTTAAGTTTCCTTCTATACTATATTCAAAATATCCATATCATTGGTAATAACTGTGAATAGTTGTAGTCATTCAGGATTGAGCTGCTACTGAGAGTTATAAATATGCTTTAAATGCATTTAAACGTTGGAATCGTGTTTAAAATCGACAGCACGTAATATCTATTTCACGCATCCAAATCAGATTCCAAGTGGGGTTTAGGCTTGAACCAGAATAAGTTAACATTAGCTAATATGAGGTGGCTAGGGCAGATACGCGACAAATGTGGATCACACATGGAATTTTTTAAAGGTAGGAAGAGAAAAGGTTTTAAGTTTCGGTTTTGTACTGTGTCAGTCGTAAATTTCTACTTACAAGATACTACGTCACCTAAACACACTATACCTCAGTTGACGCTTCGATACGGACATCTGAGATGGCAATGAGGATCCAGCCTTCGGCATTCGCGATTCACACAAATCAATCTTGAGAGTACGCAACGCATAATTGCTGACATCTATTTTCATGTCAAAGACGTCTTGCGCACACACAATACGCCTCGCAGTCGGAGCAGTCGGACAATTATTTTTCTTTAGCCAGCACTGCGTGTCTGAACCCAACATTGGTTGGATAAAGCCTGGAATGATCCGTTCATCGACATTCGTATAGCTTTATCCAAACCGCGTGGTTTATTTGCGAAATAACCCACTACTCCTAAAATTAGACATGACTTGAAGTCATAATTTTTTCACAAACTAAGACATGTCTGGATTTACAAAAAAACCGAAATGGCGGTTATCGTTGTTCCAATCCAGTCAATTGGTTATTAATATAAATTCAAATTTTGATAAGTATTCTTTTAATTTTGAAAAACTGCTTGTAAAAGATTTTCATCGCCTCCGGTGCTTGCAGGCGGGGACGACAGCGACGCGAGCGGCGGCAGCACGGAGGCGCCCAGCCTGTCGAAGCTGCAGCCGCGGCTGGCGGCCGGGGGCTCGCGGCGCGCCACGTGGCAGCGCATCGCCTCTTCCAACGACGCCGCCTCGAGCCAGCAGACGCCGGCCTTCGTGCTGCGGCGCCGCGGCCCGCTGCGCCCGGTCGCCGACTTCTTCAGCCGCGAGCACCGCCAGTAGAGCGTGCCGCCCCCCGCCCCCCACGCCCCTCGCCACACGCCACATGCCCTGCTCTGTACTGTCGCCTTCGGACGGAACCACTCGGTAGCGCCACGGAGAAGCGCCGCACCCCTTCACACAGAGCCACAGAGCATGGGAAAGAAAGGCGTGGTGACATGGTAGTCACATTTTCACAAATTAGCTCAGTGGCGCTTCTGACTGGCCTAGTGTGAAGGTTGCTATGTAGGCCTGTGTTCTGCTTGCGGTGGCGCAGAAGCGCGTCTGCGCTGCTGGGGGTGCGTCAGTAACAATCCCAGCAGCGCTACTGCGCCGCCCGTGTAAATATCTCCATTTAAGCCAATGCTTTGCCAGCAGAAACGCCACTCGGAAGCGCTGCTGAGTGGCTCCGTGTGAAGGAATCCTACGAACTTAGGGGCTCGGGCTATTGCCGCGGCGATCGATTTTAGACGGTCGACTACTACGGCTTTTGTCATTCGGTCTCCTCGGCTGCGCCACCCCGAGCGACCTATAAGTTGTGGAGATCGTTGCACGGCCCATGACAGGGACTAAGTGTAGTTCACTTCGGCTGCGCCACCTCGGGACGATCTCCATTTTGTACGCGTTTAGCATGAGACACAAGCCATTCCCCTGCGATTCCTTTACGTTTGCCGAATACAGTCAGTTTTGGATCTTGCAATTTCTTAGGACAATTTTGCGGGTGTTATCTTCAAAATGCATTCAATACACATTAACGTACATTTTAAATAACAAACGAAACAATTTATTTTACTAACCGCAAGCACACGACAACCTATATAAGTTGTGAAAACCTGCACAGTAGTGACGACAGAGAGAGTTGGCTGTGCCGCTCCAAGCGGCAAGGGAACGGGACCAAATACGCGAACGAGGTGCCCCGCACAGTGCAACGATCAGTACCCATGTTCTTTGTTCTTGACATTCGAGAGTCACATGAAGCTGCCGGTGGATTCGTAGTGACGAACAATAACATCAGATTCCCCAGTGGCATCCAATGTTGGATCAAATTCGGAGTAAGAAAACGACGTGTGTAGTGCGAATTGCGTTTCACTGTGAAGCGAGAGCGCTCATGCAAAGAACACTGCGCAAGGGCGGTAACGCCTGGTAGCATCCTCTCTTGCAAAGCGCTGCTGCCAAGCACAAAGAAGATAAGTAAGGTGTTTAGAAGGAAGTGGCGTTTTATTCGCATCTGTGATTTAAGCGGTGCGAAGAGAGACTGTCATTTACACACACACACACACACACACACACACACACACACACACCCCTTGCAGGATGTCGTAGCCCGGGTCACAAGACTCCAAGACCGCTTTCTCACAATCCTATCTCGACCACGTTCTACGAGGGGGTAGCGTCGTCGTGGTACATGGTGTTTCGGACGAGGTTCGACAAGGGAATCATGGGGTTTCAGACAAGGTTCAATACGGTTCGACAAGGAAAAACTTCGGGTGGCTAAGTACAGATTGTCCCAGTAAACAGCCTCACAGACTGTCTCCAAAACGCCACCGTGTTTGTGTGACCCTCCAAGGTGTGTTGTAATTTATGGTCACCACTCACACGGGATAGCGCAGTTGGACGTAGATTTACCATAGAAGCTCACAGAGTTGTAGATCCCAGGTGGCCTCGTGTGACAGGGTTCTTAAACATTACAAAACGCCACAATATACAGCATATGTAATTACACGTAAGGCACCTTTCACACGGAGTCACCTCAACGGCGCCATCCGAGTCTCAATCGTGCGATATACGGAACTTTCGGATCGTAATAGTCAAATGAAATGGGGCTGTTCAATGAGGAATGATCGTTCCAAGCTTTCTGGTGGCGCAGTCAATGTTCCGAGTAACAGCGGCCTTTTAAAAACACCGTAGCTACCGATCGACCTCTGTGTTGATACGCTTCTAATGATGTGTTACTGTGGCGTGGCGTGGCGTGAGGTGGGATGGTTTGGGGTGGGGTGTCATAGTTTTAATGTTGTCCATGAGGAACTGGGCTAACCGGCGGCTGACGGAAAGTGACAGTTCTCCAGACACTGACCACAAAACTCCACAAGGAACATTGGAAGAGTATGCTCTAAGGAACAGCTCGTGCCCCGTCAGTCTGTAATTACAAGAAGTATTTTTGGTTTCACGCAGGGGTTCCAGTGCACAAGCACGAAAGAATAAATCCAGCTTTAGTTAACATTGAATTGTTATTGTGAATTCATGAAGATTTGTAATACAGCTATGCAAATTCATAATCAAATAGATTAACTTTATTCACAATCTATAAAGTGAGTGATTTTACCCTGACGAGAAATATAAGTTGCAAGGTGTACATCTATTTCACTGTTATATAGCAAAAAGACATTACTGACAGCCTACTAAATTTGGTGTGGACCATGCTGCAACATTTTAAACTGTATAATACAGCTTGAAAATTTCAAGAGAATTAAAATAAGTTACAAGCAAAAGTACTTGGGCGGGACAAGGATTCTTGCACAATATGATTAGATAGAAGACCACATCCGAATGAAATACCAAATATGTGGCTAGAAAGGCTACTATCGAGCAACGAGATTCATTCAACAGCAGAGAGAGATTTTTTGTCTGAGAGCATTTGTTTCTGAATGAACTGTCACTTACCGATAATAAAATATGCAGTTAAATTTACTGTCAGTAGTGTATGAGAGTGATAAAAAATCTGTCGCCATATATCATCGTTTGTTTTGATGAGAGCTCGTCAAGTGTTATTTTACGTCCTTCAAGGAACCATCTATCAACAACCTAGAAGAATAGTTTGGATTTTACAAAAGTGCGATCTCATACAGTACACCTATTGTTTGAATAAATTATTTGTGAATCATTGAACATTGAGAAAAGTGATATTTAGAACTCATTTATTGGAACATAAGTGGTGTTGTTGAAGGATTTGTTCTTGACGATAGGAGTTTCGTGGTTATTTTTCCATCGAACTGTCATTATCCAGAAACTATTGAAAATATTTGCTTTATTGTTTGTCGCGTGATGTCGACTGAGCTGAATGAAATGAACTTCATTTGGACACACCACATCATCATCGCAACATACATGAAAAAGTCAAGTAAAGGAATATAACAGCTTTTTTTCATAACTCCTTGCATTTAATTCCCTTTCTGTTCATCACATGGAGTCATTTATAATTTCCGATCTTTGAGTTCTTTATGCAAATGCCACTTTTGGTCAGAACAAATGCTTAGCCAAAGACCATCTACCAACTGCCTATCTACACAAGATGTGATAAAATTGCAATGGAGCTGTGCTCTGTGAATCGTGGAAAATGGCACGAATGATATCGTGCGTTCGTGCAGACATAATTTGAAACAATTTTTTGGCACATGAAATCAACATAGAAAAAAATTATTTCTTGTTTTGGATTTTCAGAAAGAACAACTCTGATTTGTTGCTATGGATTCATGTACATCTGAAGAATCTCAGTGTATTAAAAGTTTACGCCATTGGCACGGTAGATGCATAAAGAATATAACATTATTGAAAGGATAGTTCACTCTCAACAAAATAGTTTTTATTTTAATCGTGTTAGATTGCGTGGTCTTTTAAATATAATTCAGAGTCGTATTGTGCTCTCTGATCTTGTTGGGATCTCATCCATTTCTAATCATTGCTAATTGCAAAAGACCAATTAGTATTGCGACGTGTACGAAGTAACACGCTGGCATATTCATAAATATTTTCCTAACAATTTTTCTTTAACATAATTTAAATATCAGATCATTTTACAAGCTTTCTGTTCTCTACCGTTTCTAAAATCAATTCTTCAGAAGGTTTCAAAAGATTTCGTAAAACATATTTCTAATATGATTCCAATTCGTTTACAATACCAGGTGTATTTAAAATTGCCTTAAGGCAATTAATTTAAACGTTATTCTTAAAAGGGGTCGATTAATCTAGTTGTAAACTCTGTATATTCTTGTCAGACAAAAATATTTGTTGTCGGAAATCAAAAGTAATAAAAGAAAAAGAATTGTGGAAACAACAATATCACCTGCTTCCGTACGGGGAAAGCTTCCGAAGAATCTTTACTTTCTCTATAGAATGACTGCAATTGTCACGCAAGTTTGTTAACCTGAACGAATAATAACTTGAAAATTGTTAGAATTTAATTTTTGAAAAAGTATTAATAATTTTCAAGTACAAAAAATTCATAATTTATAGTTTAAGAATTTACTAACTTTCACGTACAATTTTGTTCACAGAGGCGCGTACTAAGAGTGAAATGATCACCAAAGGATTTTCAATGTTACGTGTAAATCCTGTGTTTTGATCACATCACCATATCACAATGTACAGTCCATGTCAATCACAGTATTTGTGCCTCTTATTGTTGAACTTGATTGTACAAGTGAGACAGATGGGTCAGAAATTGTAGTAAACTGCCAATTATTGCGCTTGTTTTTTTTAGCGCTGAGACATTTTTGATGTTTTTTACCAATGTTTATTGTGCCTCATTGCCTGTCTTCTACACTTCAGCTTAGATAGTAATATTTTGTATTATGTCTGTATTAGATGTAGCATGACTGCACCAAAAATAAATGGCACTAAAAACTCTTAATTAATTACATTCCAATCACCCACATTCAATTTTCCTATTCAACATTGCACCAAGAGTCAACATAATGAATGCAAATATTTAAAGGTGCTATTAATTTAAGAAACGAATATTTTGGATGTGAACACGATATGAGAATAAGAATCAGCACCGAGCGTACACAAGGCCTACGCTTCGGCTAATTTCTAAGTAGCACACTGTATCTCTGTTAAAAGGAGCCGCGTTGGCTCAGTGGTAGGGCGCTGGCTTCCCGACACGAAGGACCCAGGTTCGAGTCCCGGCATAGGTTGGTGGCTTTATTTGGTGATTTCCATTCAGAGCGGCTCTGAAGTCGACTCAGCCTCCTTATCTCAGTAGAGACGGCCGGAGCGTTGTGGTCGTCATACAATCTCCTCCTTGTGCCGACAGTGACGAAAAGGTGGAGCTCTACTTTCCTTGGTTCACATCAGTGTGTGTGCAATTGCACATTTTTAACTTTACCTTCTATATCTATTAAAAGTGAATTGTCAGAGACGAATGTCTACACATAAACCGAATTAGCTGACTCAAGGCATCAACTGATGTCATTACCATACCTATGATCGTGAGTCCTAAGGTTCCAGTTTCAACGGTGGCAGGATTTTCAACACTAGCTGAATAGCTAGGTCGAATTAAGCCACTGTCTGGAGGAGAATAGTAGCGGCCGACTACTCTGATCGGTAGACTTCGGTGGTTTCTCCGATTACCACCAGGCGAATGCTGGAGCTGGACTTGCCACGGAGATCTTTACTTTCTCTTACTTGTCCTATCCTATCCCCTTGCAGGCCAAAACTTACATTTCAATGCATTAACTACCACACGTGACGAGAGCTTGGAGCTTTTCCCAGAAGGGGCGATACCGCGCTGGTGGGAGATACATGGATGGGGAACCTAGCAAGCTGACGTGTAGGTCGGTGATGATCATACAGCAGGGAAAGAACACAACAAACTCGTGATAAAATATTCACTACTAATGGCCATAGTAGATGACGCGCCAGTCAACACAAAATAATCAAAGAATCAATCAATCGACGTATACGCTGATTTTTTTATGAAGGAAATTGTGCACAGGAAATTACAGCTGCTCAGAAATTGGAATTATGTTTCTCCAATATTATAGACGAAATTTTAATGTAATTGTAGCTGATGATTCTACAGCCCTAGAAATAACTCTTTGACAGCATAACTGAAAATACCTCCCTGGTTAAGATCTACACCACTTAAGTGAGGCCAATTGAAGCAAGAAGTTCAGAAGTATGGAGACGCTACAATTTTGTTGCTTGAAAATCTGGTTTATTAATTATTACAATTATTATTTTATCATTTTTTTAGTAGAATGCTGCTTTTTGGGATGAGTGTGCGTGTGAGGAATGAGGAAAAAGAGTTTGCGTATTTCAGTGAAGATTTAAATCTGGCATTAAAGCATTATTAATAGAGATATAATTTCAATAATACATTTCGCAATATGATTTACATAATGTGAAATTATAAATTTCCTGCACACCCAAAATCAAAAACAGGGAGAATTTCTTAAAGTAATAACTGTTATATCTACTTGCGCCGCAAGATCAATTTTGCTGTAGTTTTTCACGACTCGACACTAACGTCAGGCAGGACCGTGCCCAATAGCTGTCGCTCTTACGCACTTAAAACTAGGACTGCACAAACTCGCGATTCAAGTCGTTTCGCTAGGCTCAAGTCGTTTCGCGTCCGGCTGCCTGTCCGTCTGCTCGTCTCTCTGCCCTTCTGTCTGTCTGCCCTTCTGTCTGTCTGCCCGTCTGTCTGCCTGCCCGTCTGTCTGTCTGCCCGTCTGTCTGTCTGCCCGCCCGTTTGTCTTCCCGTCTGTCTGCCCGCCCGTCT